TAGTATCCAAAATCTATAAAGAACTCATCAAACGCAACACCCAAAAAACCAAATAATCCAGTTAAGACATGGGCAGAAGACATGAATAGACACTTTTCCAAAGAAGACATCCAGATGGCTAACAGACACATGAATAAAAATGCTCAACATCCCCGATCATCAGGGAAATATAAATCAAAATCACACTGAGATACAACCTCATACCTGTTAGAATGGCTAAAATTAACAACTCAGGAAACAACAGATGTTGGTGAGGATGTGGAGAAAGGGGAGCCCTTTTGCACTGTTAGTGGGAATGCAAACTGGTACAGCCACTCTGGAAAACAGTATGGAGGTTCCTCAAAAAGTTAAAAATAGAAATATCCCATGACCCAGCAATTGCACTACTAGGTATTTATCCAAAGGGTATAAAACTGCTGATTTGAAGGGGCACATACACCCCAATGGGTTAAAACAGCACTATCAACAATAGCCAAATTATGGAGAGAGCCCAAATGTCCATTGACTGATGAATGGATGAATGGATAAAGATGTGGGTGGCTCAGTTGGTTAGGCATCTGCCTTCGGCTTGGGTTGTGGTCCCAGGGTCCTGGGATTGAGCCCCGCATCGGGCTTTCTACTCAGTGGGGAGTCTGCTTCTCCCTCTCCCTCTGCCCCTCCATGCTACTCATGCTCTCTCTCTGTCTCAAATAAATAAATAAAATCTTTTTTTAGTCCTGTCCTTGGGGAGCTCAACATTCCTGTCCTGTCCTTGGGGAGCTCAACATTCTTTCACTGGGAGACAGACAATAAACTATTTAAACATATAATGTCTTAGTGATAAGGGTTATAGAGAAAAACAGAACAGGAAAGGGGAATAGGTAGTGTTAGGGACTGAAATTTTCGATATCAAGGTCTGGGGAAGGTCTTTCTGAGAAGGTGACTTTTGAGTAAAGATCTAGGAAATTGAGAGGGTGAGCCATGCATAAATCTACAGGGAGAACATTCAGGGTGGGAGCATGCCCATGTGCTGGAGTGGAGTAAACCAGAAGAGGTTAGTAGATGAGGTCAGAGAACGAGTGGGGGCCAGATTTAGCAGAGCCTTGCAGACCATCGAAAGTACTTAACTTTTATTCTAGATGAAATAGGAAAACACTGGAGGGTTTTGAGCAGAGGAATGCCATATCTGACAAGTTTTTTTTTCATTATTATAACAGCTTTATTGAGATATAATTCACATACCATGTAATTCACCGTTTTAAAGGACAGTTCGGTAGTTTTTGTAACCATCATTACAGTTTGATTTGAGAACATTTTCATCACTCCAAAAAGAAATCCTGTACCTATTAGCACTCACTTCCCTTTCTCATTTCTCCTGCTCCCTGGCAACCACTAACCTTTTTGTCTCTATAGATTTGTCTTACCAGGACATTTCTTATAAATGGAATCTTACAATAATGTGGTCTCTTGTGATTGTCTTTTTTCAGTCACCATAGTATTTTCAAGATTCATCCATGTTGTAGCATGTATCAGTATTTCCTTTTTTTTATTGCTGAACATTATTCCATTATATGGATATGCCACCTTTTATTTGTCCATTCATCAGTTGATGGATATTTGGGTTGTTTCTACCTTTTGGTTATTATGAATAATGCTGGTATGAAATTGAGTACAAGTTTACGTGTGGACAAATGTTTTCACTCTCTTGGGTATATATCTAGGAGTAGAATTGCTGTAACATTTGATAACTCTATGTTTAATCTTTTGAAGCACTACCAAACTATTTTCTAAAGTGGTAAGACCATTTTACATTTCCACCAGCAGTGAATGAGGGTTCCAAGTTCTCCACATCCTTGTCAACACTTGTTATCATCCATCATTTTTATTATTATCATCTTAGTGGATATGAAGTGGTAGTGTTGCCCATTTTTAATTGGTTTGTCTTTTTTATTGTTGACTTGTAGGAGTTCTTTTTATATATTGGATATAAGTCCCTTATCAGATATACAGTTTGCAAATATTTTCTTCCATTCCATGGGTTGTCTTTTATTTTCTTTATGGTGTCCATTGAAACACAAAAGTTTTTAATTTTGATTAAATCTAATTTATTTTTTTCTTTTGTCATTTGTGCATTTGGTGTCATATCTAAGAAACCATCATCTAATACAAGATCATGGAAAATTTACTCCTATGTTTTCTTCTAAGAGTTTTGTAGTTTTAGTTCTTATAATTAGGTCTATGATCTATTTTTAATTTTTGTATCTGGTGTTAGGCAGGGGTCCACCTACATTCTTTTTGGAGGTGGATATCCAGTTATTTCAACTGGAAGAGAACCAACTGAAAACTTTTAATTTGCTGAAAAAACTACTTTCCCCAATGGATTGTCTTGGCACCCTTGTTGAATCAATTGCCCATAAATGAAAGTGTTTATTTCTGGACTCCTGACTTTTACTCCATTGATCTGTATATCTATCCTTATGTACCACACTGGCTTGGTTGTTGGAACTCTGTAGTAAGTTTTGAAACCAGAAAATGTTAATTATCTAACTTTGTTCTTCTTTTCTAAGCATTATTTTGGCTATTCTGGGTCCCCTTACATTTTCATATGAATTTTAAGATCAGCTAGTGTCAGAAGTTTTAGGACATTGGAGAATGTAGTTGTTCCCCTGAAATAATGATGTTGGTATGTTTGGAGAGTAAATGATCAAGGAAAATATGGTATCATTCCAGGGAAAAATTAAAGGTCCACTTAAGATTTTATGATCATGAATTTGAAATGAGACCAATCAACATAGGTGTGTGTTTTCTCAGCCATGTCTAGCTATATTCTGAATTATTTTCATAACATGAAATCACCATTTACCCTTATCACTCTTATTCTCTGTAAGTAGAGAATTTTCCAAAGGCTATATGATTTGTGATGACATCATTGCTCTTATGGCTATTCAATGTATTCTTGTGTTTATAATTTTTCTGTTTTAATATCTAACACAATAAATAATATTGATAGATATAACTCATAGAAACAAAACTTTTTTGTGTTCTCAAGAACTCTTAAGAGTGTAAGGGAGTCACAGACACATAGATCAATGGAACAGAATAGA